AAAAGTCAATTTTTAGTGAAATTTTGCCGGGAATGGGGCTTTAAATATAATAATAATTTGATATTTCTTTCTTAATAAATCCACCTACTTGTTGAACATACACACATTTTTGAGTTTTTAAAATGGAATTATTATTTTCGTGGTGAAGAAATAAAGGAAAAAGCATACTTCAGTATACTGTATCATGCACGTTTTCAAATCAAGTGAGTCCTAGGCATATAGTATTCAATAAAGTGTGTTGATTTATTTAATAAATCAACACACTTTATTGAATACTATACCATGATTCCTTTTAAAATAATTTGCATGACAGACCCCTGACAGATCATAAAATTCTATCCATAGGCATTGTCAATTAAAAATATCTTTTAAAATTAGTTAGAAATTTCCCAGCTTACAAGAATATTTTGTACAAATTTATAATGGATGCTAAATAAACCAATAAAAATAAATAAAATAAATAAATGTATAATTATAATAATAATTATTAATGCAAATTGGTATAGAACTGAAATGGAAATATTCAATGCTAAGCCAGGTAGGCAATTAGAATAGTTACATTAGTGGAATTATTATACAAAGGTTAGAATGTAAGAAAAAAATTCCAGAGGGCCCGCACAATTTGGAATAGGAAAATAATACTGAGAATGATTACGTCACGATTGATATTGATATATTTACACAGTAAGTCAATCATTATTTTTAATAACGTTACTGCATCATCTGTCCCTTTGGCTTTAGTGGTACTGTACAGTGCAAAATAAAGAAATGTCTTGGTTTGTCCATGATTAAAATGTCTTGAATTTTATTTATTATAATTTTATATCAACTTTAAAAAAACTTTTGTCATTCTACAACATGCATAATTAATTTGTGTTGGTTGTTAGTGATTACAACCTAAAAACAGTAAAATTGGCTGAATTCACCTAGCTGTTTTTAATATAAATCCCTCTACAGGAGTAGTACTGCAGGTCAATTTTCACAGGGAAAACTGCATTTGAAAGCATCATTTTTCTTTCTAAGTCATATCTAAACATGAATTCATTGGTTCAGTAGTTTCATCGGACCAATAGGATTTACAGTATAAAGTCCATTAAAACTCCTCCCTAGATGCTAATGCATTACAAGCATATAACCATCCGATGCTCACATGAATACAGCGCTCTCTTGAATAAAAAAACGACTACATTAAAGACTAGTCTATCATAAGCTAGAAAGATTCTTATCATTAAGTTTTAAGCAGTAAAGGTTTATAGTTTTTTGGTACAAGCAGTTTATAAATGTTTTTGTTAAAAAGCAACATAGTTTTCTGAGCAGTTTGAGTGTCGCCGCCGGCGTGAGCTGTACGATTCCATTTTCTGCATGTGAGTGTGATGGAGAAGGTACAGAGTGTTCTAGGCTTGTTGCGGTACAATAGTTTTATAAAAAATTATATATTTGTATTGAAATATGAAAGCAATACCTTATAAAGTTGATACTGTACTTGTTTAATTTGTAGCGTGTGGAAACACCCTAAATAATCAAAATCAAAATAAAAAAAATCTTTATTGGCAACCACAGTATACAATGATTGAATTATATAATAAAATATTCAAAAATTTAGAATAGATTTTTTTAAAAAATTTACATGATCGATCAACAATTTTATATTTATTTACATTAAAAAGGATTTCATTAATTATAAAAATATGCAAATTTACAAAAGCAATTTAATCACATTCAAAACACAAACAAAACACATTTTACATCACAAAAAGAAAAATCACAAAAAAAAGAACAAACACAAAAATTATTATCGCTGAGAAGTATCATGTACTGGTAGTGAAGAAGAGTGAGCCCCGTTAAGAACCATCTACTGTACCAATTGTGAAACACCCCATAATTGATAAAAACTGTAATAAATTTTTTAGTCCTCTCAGTTTTGACCATTGGTAAAGTAAATTGATTTTGTGATGGAAGGAGATGGTTTAAACCCTCTTGACCCTTTGGAAATATTTCTTACAAAGAGAAAGTAAACGCTGATTTAGCGGAGTTAGTCTTAAGTGAAATAAGGGCAGTGATATATGGTATATTTGGTAGAATACACCTTACCGTCCGCTTTTGATAATAAATAATAAATGAACTGTTCCAAATCAATTATATACAGTGAAGCGCACACACTGATCTCATAGTAGAGATCAATGAGCGCACAGTGCACGTCGGCCCATCATTGAGTGCATATTCTGTGTAAGCAGTATTAATTGCACTGCCTGCAAAATGTTATCGTATTAATGTGTCATTATTATTATTATTATATCTTCCTCCCACATACACTTTATTAGTACAAGTTTGGTTTAATATATATATTATTCGCCATGGCTAGAGATACGGTACCGTATTTCTACTTCGTTTTGCTAAAGGTATGGTAAATGGCATTATGTCACCATCACTCAATGAAATGCCAGAATGTGTGTGACGTCATTTTTTGAAGACTGGCATTGCATATCACCCACAATGAGCGGTGGAAGGAGAATGATCATGTACAGTACAGTATAAATAGATTATCAAAGACTAGCAGTAGTGTGTGTATACATGTGCCTTGGCCTAAGTCCTGAGGACGATGCCTTGCTTGATAAGGCTACTGTATATAAATGACATGACCCTTATTATTGAGTGGCTCGCCTATTTTTCTATGACAGTATTATAAGAATATACTGTACTCGATCTTTGCCTACAGTAGCTAATCATCTGCTAATCGAGTACATTTTCGCTAGTCAAACACTGCTCACCTGTGACATGACAAGCACTAAAAACACTAAACAAGAAGATTCATAAGGCCTCCTAGCATTTTATATACCGTAGTACTGTTTTAAGGTCTGCATTAAAAATATTGGAAAAATTTGACACAATAGTAATAATCCCGAAGGGGAAACTTATTCTCTCGATCTAGGCCTAGATTCTGTACCATAACACTAACAGTGACGAAGTCTAGCCCTACAAAAAGTTTTGTGCATTCAAATTGTATGAATATTTTCGTGGGATTGTAAAGCGTGGTATTATTTCGAGCTTGGGATATAGGGATTATGAAGTTCAGAAAACAAATAAAACAACAGTATAAGCAAATCAAGGATGAATTATTAATCAAAATAAAAAAAGAAAACAAAATTGCACAAAAATTTAGAATTCATCTAGGCCTACACTTATTTAAATATTACTTCCCAAAGAATAAGCATATTCGAGGATAATGTGGCATACTGTTACCACGTTACGAAAAATGAAATACGAATTCTGCACATACTGTGTACTGTCAAAGATACTAGAAATACAAGATAGAGGACTTGCATTTTAAAAATGAGGCGGAAGTCGTGCCCAACGTAGGCGGCGCTCTTCTTTTTAACCATGCAAGTTTCCTATACTTCATGCCCAACGTACAGGGCGCCCTTCGGTTGCCAAGTATATCCAGACGCAAAAGGCGCCCTTCCTTTTCCACTAATGGAGGAAAACTTTTTCACTAAGAAGGCGTCCGGCCATACGATTCTGCGCTGTATTGTTGTTTTATTCTTTACTGATCCATGATTATGCTTTAATTGTTTTGTGTTTTATTTGGATAATAGCAACGATTTCTACCGCCACCAAGGAGGTTATGTATTCACCAATGTCACTGTCTGGGCGTCTATTCCAGTTTGTTTTTATATCTAGTAAATAAAAAGTGATAAAGTAAAGAATTGCAAAATACAGTCATCATTATGAATTCTTGTGCTTTATTGATCCATACTATTGGTAGGCCTATTAGCTCAGGATTTCAATGCTTTTCCAACCCATTCTTATTGACATTTAATACAGCTCTGATACTCACAGTATATATTTTTTAATCACAAATTAGAACTGCATATATGTAGTTTTAAAAC